TATTTAAACAGGACACTGGGATGGGGGGTATTTAAACAGGACACTGGGATGGGGGATATTTAAACAGGACACTGGGATGGGGTGTATTTAAACAGGGCACTGGGTTGGGGGGTATTTAAACAGGACACTGGGATGGGGCATTCGTGGATCCAAATCTTTAGCAATGGAGTGGAATGTTGATCGTCCTCTAGTAAGCCACTCAGTTCAAGGATAATTAAGGATAGGCAATGAATGCTGGCCTTGCCAGTGATACCCACATCCCATGACAGAATAAAGAATGGAGGATTTATGTGTGTAGGCGCTACAGCATGACACCTAGAAGGAACAATACCTCCACTGTCAGCCTGAGCTGGGTGGGGATAAGTCCCACTTGACTGTGTTGAGAATGCAATCCGCACTGAGATGCCAGTGCTGAGGGAGGGCTGCACTACTGAAGGTGCCAACTTCTCATTGAGTTGTTATACCAAGACAATCTGCCTGCTCATTTGGACATTATTGGGAGAAGCGTAAGGAATTTGCCTTCTAATCTGAGCAAGATTCCTCTTTTGTTAAAAGACTGTTGTACATCTTAAATAACTAACTGGTAAGAGAGGGAGAGTGGTGGGGCTGTTTCAGAGTGGGTCAGATGCCAATCCCTAAATCTCTGCAGACTGGTGAAATGGCATCTGCATGAGATGAGAGTTCGGTTGGAGGTGGGGGTGAGGAGCGGATAGTGGAGGTGGGGTGGAGATTAACTCCACATCTCATTTACAACCAGATCACAGGTCACAAAACCCAGGCTCAGTGTGTTAATAAGCATACACATATAAACACTTACATACAGTCTCTCTCTCTCACCCACACACACACACAGAGTATGTCTCTCACTCACACACACACTGTATCTCACACACATACACACACACTCACACAGACTGTATCTCTCACACACACATAACTGAAACACATTTTATCTCTCTCTCTCACACACACACACACACACACACACACACACACACACACACAACTTAAATACACTCTCTCATAAACATAAACACAGACTCTCACACATGCACACACACAAGTCAAACACACTCTCTCACCCACACACACACACACACACACACGCACACTCACCGATGTACACACACAACTCAAACACACTCTCATACACATGCACACACTTTCACGCAGACCTTGCACACAACTTACAAACACAGTTTCTAACACACTGTCATACAGACTCTCACACAAATACACATACACACACACACTCTCTCCCCACCCCCACACACTCTCTCCCACACACACACACACACAAACACACACACTCTGTCTCTCTCACACACACACACAATCTCTCACACATCACCCTCACACACTTTCACACAAACAGTGTTGCTTGGGTAGTGAGCAAGGACAAGGTGAGGTTAAACCATTAAGTGAGTTGCTTCAACAGTGAGAATGTGAGGTAGGGCCGATTACACGAGGCTGATGGCAGCTGTGGTGTAGATGCCCAGCAGAGCAGAGGCATCTGAGGGCAGGAATTGCTGCCACTTGCAAATTCCTGCATGCAGAGTTCCTTCAAGGGCTGCTTGAAACAAACTTTGCAAATGAAATGAGCAGCTGCTGAATGAGAAACTTTTCAATAGCTCATGTCAGAATTCCAATTATAATCAAGCTAATTGCACAGTTCATCTGCACTTGACCAATTTCTTCCTCTGCCTCTGCCCGTTGCGTTCAATACAGAGGATCCAATGGTGCTAATTCATAGAATTATTACAGTACAGGAGGGGACCATTGTGTCTGCACTGACTGTCTAAGCATTTTACCTTGGCAGCAGTCCCCTGCCTTTTCCCTGCAAACCTGCAGACGGTCTCTATTGAAATAAAAATCCAGCAGCCTCTTGAATGGAACCTGCCTCTACCGCCCTTCCAGGCATGTGTATCCCAGACCCCAACTACTCACTGATGGGGAATGTTGAGGCAATCTCCCAGCCCAAAGTTTATTTGTACCAAAATTATAAAGACAGATCATGTAAGCATTTTGGGAATTTGCTGAAACTGGCTACCATTCAAAATTTAGGTACTAGAAGTTGGAGAAAGTTATTCAGCTTCTCGAGCCTGCCCCGCCATTCTATAAGATCACGGCTGATCTGTCCTGAGCCTCAACTCCTCCTTTGTGACAGTTCCTCAAAGCCCTCAACTCCCCAATATATCATGAATCCATCTACTTCACCTTAAAAACTTTCAGCGATGTTGTCTCCACAACTCCCTGGGGTAGAGAGTGCCAGATATTCACTACCCTCTGGGAGAAGAAATTCCTTCACATCTCAGTTTTGAATGAGCGTTTTCTTATTTGTGACTTTATTCCCTAGAACAAGATTCACCCACTAGTAGAGTCATCTACCCTGTCAAGCCCCCTCAGAATCTTATTTTTTTTCTGCAATTTCCTTCTTTTGTTTGCTCTTAGGACGTGAAAGTATCAGCATTTATTGTCCATCCCTAACTGCACTTAGAGAAGCTGGTCGTAAGCTGCTGTCTTGAACCACTCAGTCCACATTGTATAAGGACAACCACAATGCTTTTAGGAGTTCCAGGATTTTGACCCAGTGACACTGGAGGATAGGCAGTGTATTTCCAAGTCAGGGTGGTTTGTGGCTTTGAGAGGACCTTGCAGGTGCTGGTGTTTCCATCCTTACCCTTCTACCCAGCAGACATTGTGGGTTTGGAAGATGCTGTTGGAGGAGCCTGCATCTGTTATACCAGTTGTTACAACAGTAGCTGCACTTTTTAAAGACTTAATTGGATGCAAAGCATTCTGGGGCTTCCTAAGGTTACATGCAAGACATGACATTTCTATGCAATGTATACTTGCAACTTCATTCTCAAAAGTTTCTATAGGAGTTAATAGCATCGGCTGTTCTTATGAAAATGGTTCTACTTAG